AGCTGTATGTGTGTTGTGGAGTGTATAGGTGTCTGTTGTAATTGAATTTGCCGCCAGCAGAGGCGGTGTGTGTGTGTGTCTATGTGTGTGTGTGTGTGTGTGTGTGTCTGTGTGCGTGTGTGTGTGTGTGTGTGAGAGAGTTGATGTGCCAGGCAGACAGGCAGGTATCAGTAGCTTATCTGACATATAAATGGTCAAAAATTGTGCTTTTTAGCCTACGAGCTCCCCGTTCGAGCGAACGACTATTCCTTTGCGATGTAGCATCACATTGGATATGCGCTTAAGTTGTCCTGGATTGGAATTTTTTTGATCATTTTCCTATGAGGAAATAGCAAAAATGTGCTTAATATGCATGAAAAAACGCAGGCCACGCCCACATTCGTCATTTGTTGAGACACTTTAAATATAAGTTCATACTCACCCCCAGAGTATGTCTAAAAAAGAAATATTTCGTCCATCCTTTCTTGAGTTATACATTTGTCGTGTTTTTGGCGCCCCCTATAGTCCAAAATGAAAATACCTTTGTGTGCCGATTCCCCAACACAGACTGAACCTATCCACCAAAATGTGTGTTATTTGGATACATTGTTGATGAGTTATGAGCATTTATTTCTAAGCCCCGCCTTTTTGTGAACACGTTTAGATTAATGACGGCCATATTTATCGACTGAACATGGTAATTTTCTACGGTAATGTGTCTGACCCTCCACCGATGCTGTATACTAAGTTTGGCGTTGAAAAACAAAAAAATTGAAATTTAAGTAAATATTTCACTGTTTTTAACATTATGCTAATTTAAAAATAGTCAAGTAGGCGGAGCTTTGGGGTTCGAGGAGATAATATGTAGAGTAGGTCCACCCGAATAAGTGTGCACAATTTCAGGTCATTTGGAGTTACGGTGCGACTTTGTAAATGTTTCCAAAAATGGAAATGTAGTAGTTCGGATTAATTTGTGACATGTAAATCGTCAAAAATGGTACATTCTCCGTTCGCTTACGAGCTCCCCGTTTGAGCTAGCAACTATTTTATTCGCAATTTAGCGTTATATTGGATATGGGCTGAATTTTTCCTGGATTGGAATTTTTTCGATCATTTCCCTAGGAGGAGTTTGCAAAAATGTGCTTAAAATGCATGAAATACGCACATTTAAAAAAATGGCCGACTTCCTGGGGGGCGGGGCTAATGGAAGGCAATTTGAAATATGTGTGCAATCAGAATAGCAATGTATATACAGCGTTTCGTGAATATCGGTAAAACTGTATGCGAGTAGTTTGGATTAATTTGTGACATGTAAATCGTCAAAAACTGTGTATTCGCTGTAAGCTTACGACCTCCACGATTGAGCTATCAAAAATTGGCTTCACAATTTAGCATCATATTGGATAGGGGCTGAACTTGTCCTGGATTGGAATCTTTCCGATCATTCCCCTAGGAGGAGTTCACAAAAATGTCCTTAAAATGCATGAAAAACGCACATTTTTCAAAATGGCCGACTTTTTAGCGGGGCTAATGGAAGCTAAATAGAAATATGTCCGCAATTCCATGAGGAATGTCTGTGCCAAAGTTCGTGAAGTTCTGAGAAACTATATGTGACTACCACACAATAGGGGGCGCTAGTGAGCAGTTTTTTTTAAAAATTACGATTTTTACTTACATTCTCGAAAAGGTCGTGGGGTGTGACGTGTGTCCCAAGTGTTGCGTCCGAAGCTCATTTTATGCTATCGCAATTTAAAAAAAATGTATAGGCCACGCCCACATTCTGCATTTGTTGCGACACTTTAAATCTCAGTTCATAGTCACCCCCAGAGTATGTCTAAAACATTTTTTTTTATTTTCGTCAATCCGTTCTGGAGTTATAAATTGGTGGTGTTTTTAGCGCCCCCTATAGTCCAAAATGAAAATGCTTTGGTGTGCCTATTCCCCAACACAGACTGAACCTATCCACCGAAATCTGTGGTGAATGGATACATTGTGGATGAGTTATGAGCATTTCTTTTTAAGCCCCGCCTTTTTGCTAGTACGTTTTGATTAATGGCGGCCATATTTATTAACTGAACATGCTCATTTCCTGTAATGTGTGTGACCCTCCACCGATGCTGTATACTGAGATTGGTGTTGATAAACAAAACATTGACATTTAGGATAATATTGCACTGTTTTTAACATTATGCTAATTTAAAAACATCAAAGTAGGCGGAGCTTAGGGGTTCAAGAGGACTTTATGTAGAGCAGGTCCACCCGGATAAGTGTGCAAAATTTCAGATCCATCTGAGTTACGGTGCGACTATGTATATTTTTCAAAAATGTTTTACATATAGGTGGCGCTAGCGGACATGTTGGAAATGTTTAACTCATCGACTCCAGAATGTCAAAAACCAACATTTTGAGAAAAAACTCAGTATTTTGTTCAGGAAAGGACACTGTTCAGGAACTAGCTGATGCTCTGTATGTGATCACTACTTCCACTCTGGAGAGGATCACAGGTACATGGATCCTGAGA